GAAGGAATATCGGAGGAGGTAACATATGGCTGCTAACAAGTACCTTTCAGTCACTCATGACTAATCAACCTGCAAATCTAATGACCCCAGGATGACTAAACCATGGAATCTCGATCGGGTCATTCCAAAAAACAAAAATTGAAATAGAAATTCAACTGACTAAGAAGTCTTAAGCAACCTATAATTTGTAACCCCATAAAATCCGAAAAAGATATTAAAACATAAATGAAACCATAATGAAAAATGATCATCAAACTCAATTTTAACCCTGCCAACCAAATCTATGAAGAACTCTTGGGCAATGTAACCCATGGTTGTTGGCAGGAATCTTCCAGTCGGAGTTAGCCTGACTGCCTCTCTAAACTAAGTAGATCAGGGAAACCAATAACCCTGTGATAACAGAAAGCCATGGGCATCATGACCTGGTTGCATATAAAATGATAAATAATCCAAACAAACACATTTACCTCTCTTATATGAAGCGTACTAACTTTATTTTGCAGGATTGCTCGGAACAACCTACAAGAAACCACTCTAGATTTAATTTACATGTTATTTAGGGTGTGCTAACTCTATTTTGTAGGGATGACATATAAAATGCCACCTTAGGTTTACTTCACATGTTATTTAGGGTGTGCTAACTCTATTTTGCAGTGTTGACATAAATGCTACAGTATCCTAGGTTCTTTTCCTTCAGGACTTCTTTTCATTTGTAGAGTTAGGAGGTGTTATGGTGAATTATCTATAAACATCCAAACTATCAACAAGAGGATAAAACACAAAGTAAAGGATGAACCTCAATTGAACCATCAACGATAGTTCAAATGATGTTGATTGATGATTCTGACATAAGTTAAGGTTGGCACCCACAAATGTCAGTTTGTCTCTATCCATTTGATATGTCTATCCAAATTATAGACAGATGTCTGCATTTCTGCCTTTTGCCTGGATTAATGGTAGGCTCACCTAAAAACAAAACCTTGTACCCCAACCTAAGTAACTTTAACTTAATTTTTTCAAAAATGAAATTCGTAACCAAAATTAAAAAAAAGTTGTTGCATTCAAAACTATAAAAGCATCATGCATTTAAGAAACCTTGATTGACATCAAACATAAAACTGAAGGAATATGAACGGTAACATGATCTGTAGATATATGCATGACATGTTGCTTTTGTTCTTTGTCTTCAGATCCTCACTATAGAAAGGGGTGGTTTGAACTACGAGAACTAGTACCTTATAGAGTGAGTTCTGCTCATGCATACCAATTGGCCTTTTAAATAGATATTCTATGCATTCAACATCAAGGAATTGCATATCCCATTGTATAGCTTGCTTCGATGCACTCTGCACCTATTGAATTTAAATATTTGTGCCGGGTGAGGTTTAAGAACATTTAACTTTGAAAATTTAAAATATCTTCACATTAGTCTTAGGACATTATGCATGTCATACCTATCTAGGCAGCTTAAATAATAATCAAGTAATAAGGCCTATTAATCCTGATAAACAACCTACCTAGTTTTATATCCTCGAGACTCTTGAATGTGGTTAGATGGCTTAGACTATAGCCCTTTTCAGGTAGGCTTGTAGATCTGTTCCATGACATAGGATAAGGTTCTGAAGTTTAACTTTTCTTAATGAACTTCTCCTTAGGACTCCGAGGTTGGTCGTTTACTATGACATAAATCCTCACTTTTAGGCTCTTGCATGATCGTATGTCATGCAACATAAGTCCTAATAAAACCAGGGAAAATTATTAAAACTCTTCCGTGATAAAGATAAGCTCAACCTTCTGAGGATGAAAATGTAGTCTTAATTGAGATTTTTCTTAAGTGGCTTCAATTAATTAAGATGTTATTAGTTACAGGGGCTTGCGCTTATAGGATGAAGAAAAGAATATACACAAAAATCTAAATTTTTGGTTTTGGATCACTTCTATAAGGTACTTTTCATGGAAATATTTCCAATGCATTTTTGATCTGATCTCATTTCAAAAGTATGCTTCGGAGTTACCCATGCGAAGTTCTCTTTCGAAAGTCCTCCACATGCTTTTATTTTGTTTTCCTTCATCATCATATATCCTTGCCTTCCGATTCCTCTCTCCTCCAAATCATACAATCGAGAAGAGAGTTTACTTGGAGAAGGGATTATACGACGATAAACAAGTTAGAGACTTACCTTCGAACAAAAATGAAAAAGTGCAAGCAGGACAAAAGGGCGCCAATAGCGTCATGATGCAAAAAGTAGGTGCCACCGGTGCCTAAGTGCCAGGATATAGGAAGAAGACACCAACATAAACTAGGCATTGCCTAAGCACCCATAAGAAGTTCCTAGATGCTCGAAACAAACTATTCTGAGCAAAAATATAAGAGACTGGAAAGTAAGCTGCACGACAACAACATCTACGCACCAGTTCACATGAATTGATGGTTTTCTACTGTTTGAACGCGACTCTTCACTGGAAGAAGTATAAAAATTTTGGATTTGAAGAAGAGTGGTCTTTTTAATGATTTTGGAGCATGGAGCACTTAAGAGGAAGGTCAAAGAGGCTTTGCAAGAAGTTTTTATGTGAAGAAAGAAGAGATATGAGAGGATCAAAAATTGTATTTACTGTTTATTTCCATTTCTTCCACATTGCTTCTTAAAAGAAGGAGACAAGTTAACTTTTAGTTTGGATTTTAATTTAAATTTCTCTGAAATTTTTGGTGTATGATTAATTCAAAGTTTGAGTTGATGGTTTTTGTAATGATAAGTGAGCAATCCCTTATTTCTTCCTTGAATATAATGTTTGTAGGATGTAATTGAAACTATCTATGTGATTCACTTGTGAATTATCATAATAGTATTGGTTTAACTGATTTGCTTCATTTGCTTTCTGTTTAACTTATAGGAATGTTAACATCCTTTGTGAACTATAAGATCTGGAAGGATACCCGGTGGAACAAAAGGGGTTAACCACATAAACTCATTAGAATAAAAATATTTTCATTGAGCTCATGCTAACATTTAGGGAGATGCTATTTAATTAGGCAGATCAAAGGATTTAAGAAACTAAACTCTAGACTGATTAACTATCTATCCATATAATCATTCAATTTATATGTTTATTTCCTTGTACTGACAGAGCTTGATTGATAGTACTCAATTAATTCACTACCATGCAACTTGATGAACTTTAAAGTATCTGCATCGAAAAATACAATTAGTAAAATGTTATAGAAGCTTTATATAATCATAAAGAAATAATGTACTAAACTTATTTAAGTGGATAAATTATGGTTGTTCAGGGTGTAATATACGAAATATGCATATAAGAAAGCTAATATTGCACATCTAAGAAAAAAAGTACTAAATAATTAAAATATTTTTGATCCAATAAATAAACTTTCATTTGCGGCGGCAAAAGCATAAAACATAAAAACTATGACTGCTTTACTACATCTAATATGATATCAAATTAAAAAAAACATAAACACAGAATATAATAAAAATTATTGTCAATTAACCTAACATTGAACCCATCTATCCTCTAAGGATTTGATATCTCAATATAAAATTGAACTCTCTTTTCAAATTTAAAATTATTAATTTTAACTATCAATGTTAAGTAGATTGCGTATTTCCCTTTATCTCCATTAAGGAATATCAACATGTGAAACCTCCAAGAAAAAAAAAAGAACAAAGGAATGCAAAGCAAACTTCTAGTCATTAGTGCTTCAAATTAATGATTTGATTGATTGGTATGTAAAAGTGAATTAGGTGAATTGAACAGGGAAAATAAGAGTTTTTAAAACTAACATATAAAAAAGAAACAAAGGATCAATACAATAGAGCCAACCCAAGGAAAAAGTAGAAGCATTCCAACTGTCAATGCAAACACTTAGAGACACAACAATATATGTGAAAGTTCAAAATAGTTCAAAGTTAAAAGTAGAAACCTTCTTACATAAATAACACAAAGTTTTTATTTATTTACATATCTCACAACTAAACTTTCATATTTTCACACATACCACTTTACTTATCTAAAAAAAGCAAAAACATAAGAATCAAACAACAATCAACATGAGCAAAACAAAACTATATTTATCCAAAAAAAGAAGGAACTTTGATGGGCTATATTTATGACATGCAAGGGACGATAATTCAACTTTGAACTTTGATGAACAAAACCAAGCTATCGTTATCTCCATGCTTCGTGTTGTGATCCCAATTGGATTCTCCATTATCATCTTGAGGAAAATCTCTTTGCATGTATTTCTAAGCAAATTAGAAAAGCCCTTTATTTCCATATCCATAAATAATTCCTTCTAATCTCTATAGTAAAAACTTATTCACAATCATCCATAACCAATATTCTTAAAAAAAACTTTCCCATATTTGTAATGAACAAAATAGATGATTTAGAACTAAGTTTGACTTGCACGATGACCGCCGTGAAGCTGTTTTCCACAACATTTTATAAATCTTGAAGAGCGGCATTTATGGAGGAAAGAGATGAGAGAATGAGGCAATTTTAGAACTAAGTTTGACTTGCACGATGACCGCCGTAAAACTGTTTTCCACGACATTTTATGAATCTTGAAGAGAGGCATTTAAGTAGGAAAGAGATGAGAGAATGAGGCAACGGAGAGGGAGCATAACATGGGAAGGAGATGAAGCCGTATCCTAATGCGGGGAAGAGTGGGCGAACAATTGTAAATAGAGGGAGACATCTCCTTGGCTAAAAGGTTTAGGGTGGTTAATTTTAAATATTTGAAGTTTGGGTGATTAGTTTGTTATATATGAAATATTAGGTTGTGTGCAAGTAAAAATACGATATTTTTGATATGATAAATATTATAAATTAAATTTAGAGGTTACATATATAAATTCATGGGAATTGCACTGAATATTTTTCGTGTAAATACCCTAGTATAAAATAAAATCAGCGCTGGCATTATTTATTTATTTAATTATTTATTTGACTCGGTTAATTGCGGGAGGAAATGCAGATCAGGGCACCATCTCACCTCATCCGCAACAACGCTGGCAGTTTATTAACCAAACAACCGTCGGCTAAGAAACTGACCATTCCTTCCGAATAAATCTCGTCTTTGTTCTTAGGTTACTTCCATCCTCTTCGTCGCGCAAAGGAATCAGAAGGAATAATCAGGAAGAGCTCAAATTTGAAGTTAAAAGGATTTCCAGGTTCGAGTATTTCTGAAAGAATGGTTGGCTTTAGCGGCGATGAAACTGCTCCCTTCTTCGGGTTCCTTGGCGCCGCAGCGGCGCTTGTTTTCTCCTGTAAGCACATACTGTCTCTGTTTAGTTCTTCGGTAGGGTTACTGTTTTTCTCATCGTTTTATATTTGGTATCTTCTGTTTCAGGTATGGGGGCGGCCTACGGAACTGCAAAGAGCGGCGTAGGCGTGGCCTCGATGGGGGTCATGCGGCCGGAGCTTGTTATGAAGTCAATTGTGCCCGTGGTCATGGCTGGTGTTCTCGGTATCTATGGATTGATTATTGCGGTTATTATTAGCACGGGAATTAATCCCAAGGCCAAGTCTTATTATCTATTTGATGGATACGCTCACCTCTCTTCCGGTCTTGCATGTGGTCTTGCTGGGCTATCAGCCGGCATGGCTATTGGGATCGTTGGTGATGCTGGCGTGAGGTAATTTCTTAACTTTTGCTGGATTTTCTCTGTCTTTATCTTGCAAAATTTTCAGTTATCTTTTTGTCTGTGGGACTGAGGGTTTTTTGGCTAAAAGCGCGTTTGGGATCACTGTCCTTTTTATTTATTTTTTTTATTTTCATTTTTGATTTGTTTTGTTTTGATTTTGTTTATGTTTTAACGTAAAAAGAAAATATATTTGATATTTTTTTTTTTGAGTTTTCTGATTTCAATTTTTTTTATAATCAAATAAATTTTCTGATTTTAAAAACAAAGACTATAAAATATATTTGATATTCTTATAAATTTTCCATTAATGAAAAATAAAAATGTGTTTAATATTATTAATTTTTATAATGTTCTCATATACACATAATTTTCTTTTTAAATTATTTTAGCTTGTTAGTTAATATATATCTTAAATCTTAATATTGAGTGATTTATCAAGATCAAATTTATTAGGACAAAATTTAAACGAATTGAGAACATAAAAAAATGGAGAATCATCTTTTATCATTTCTGTTGAATCCAAATTTTTGTACTGTGAGACATACCCATGTATCGGAGAGGTAGGAACCAGAGATGAGAGAAAGAGAGAGGGAAGAGCACACACAGATTTGCTCCATAAGGGCATACTAGGGTATTCTCGGCCTTTCTGACTCATTTTATATATATGAAAAATAGAGGTTACAAGGGAAAAGGGGAGAGAGTTTTTCTTACAGAGTATGAGTCTAAAAAAAAAGTACGTGTTATGAGCCTCCTATTTATGGGAGATAGATTAGTAAAGGTGGAAAACTACATGATTTCCCCTGCTTTGGTAGAGTGTTAAATGACATTAATTTTTTTTGTCGTGACTTTTCGTATTCGTAATTGATTTTAGTATTTTTTTTTTGTTTACCTGGATCTTTTGGGTGGCAAGTCTGCGGTCGTGTGACAGCTCTTTCGGTCGTCTGGCAGCTCTTCGGTTGTCTGACAGACCTTCGGTACTGTTAGATTTTTTTAAGATAAACAATGATACATTTTTAATGTATATATGAAGTTTCTAAATTCTTTTACTTCTTAGAGGCAAAGTTGCTATAAAATTATAAGAATTTTTTAAGTTAAAAATGTGATCATATTTACCTTTTAGTCATTAATGATATTTCCTCGATCTTAGCATCATTTTGTGCTCAATCTTGCCAGCTCCGAGCTGGTCTCCTAAAGCTTTCGGTCGGCTGACTTGATCCTAGTCATCTGACTGACCTTTTATCGTTTGGCTGACCTTCGGTCATCCTCATTTCTACAACGCTATTTGTTTGCGATAATTATTTGGTGATGAATGTTGGTGTTGGTTGATCACCTGGATCTTCAGAAAGTTGATTGGTCGTTGTTTTATATGCCACCGCCCGACACAAGTCTAACATAACTTGTATCTTTTGCTCAGTCGGATTTATCGCCTCGGTTAGTCCACATCACTTGTTGGGACTTAGGCTAATCTTGTCGCTGTCTTTGCCTGGATAACCGCTGAGACTCACTGTTGGGTTGATTTGTACTGCACCTTTCGTGGAGCTTGTCTTTGCCGGGCAGAGAATTACCTCAAGAGCTATATCTTTATTAAGCTTTGAGATTGGCTTTTTGATGTTTGGCGTTGTGGCTCAGATTTGCTGTTTGGATGTCGATTAGACATCTATAGTGTCACCCTGTCCTTTTTATTATTTTATGTAATTGTCACCTGCCTCTTTTTTTACACTTTTCAAGGTCTTGGTTGCTTAGTTTGATTGTCGTCTCGGACGGGCCTCAGCTTTCATAATGACTTAGGTGCATCTTGTTGCTGCCTTCGCAAGGGTAACCGCCGAGACTCTTTGCTGAAGTTATTTGCGTTTTACCCTTCGCGGAGTTTCTTGCTACTGGGCTGAAAACCACCTCTATAGCTTTATTTGATTCAAGTATGGGGACCAAGAGTTACAATGCAGGAGCGTTGTGGGCTATTTTGCTGAGCGAACCTCTTTGTGGCTGCTGTCAGCGCTGCTTCTTGGATTCAGTTCCCCAAGTGTCGATTGGGCCTGAAAAAATATTAAAGAAATTTGCTTCATAACACAAGATATGTTTTGAAGTCATATTTATTTTATTAGCTTGGTAAGGTTTTAGTTGCCCTGAATTGTCCGAGCAATACGCAGGTCCGATTAGCCAGTTGTTTCGACTGTTGGGAGCCAACCATCCGTTTTGTGGTACTCACCTACTAGCGAGGGCCTATAGGAAGATGAAGAAAACAAAGTTTTAGGCTCCAAATTTGTTGTTGCATGAACCCCTTTGCGTGATCCCTGTTAGGAATGTCTTTGGGGTGCATTTCATCTCGTTGGTGTTGCTTCCCTTCTTGTAGGCAACGTGCTCCAAGCTCATCGCATATTTTAGGATGTTAAATCCAGATTTGTCTCGTGAGGATCAAAGTGACGGGAATCATTGAGGATAGAAAAAGAAAGGGAAGAGCACACATAGACTTGCCCCATACGGGCGAACTAGGGTACTCTTGCGCTCTGTAACCATTTTATATATAGAAATTAGAGGTCCCTTCTCACAAAAGAGAAGGTGAGAGAATTCTCCTAACAGAGTATGGGTTTAGAGAGAAGAGCCCAAAACCCCCTAATACTTGCTATGGGCCTCCTATTTATAGGAGATAGAGGGCTAAAGGTGAAAATTTACTTCTCTGACCCTACTTTATTAAGGGGGTTACAGGATATTATTGTCTTATATTGTGTATTTTTATATTTGTAATTGATTTTGGCTTTTTTTTGTGTATTTGGACCTTTTGGGCATTAGGTTCTTGGTCGTATGACACCCCTTCGATTGTATAACAAACCTTCGGTCATCTGACAGATCTTCGATCTTCTGACAGACCTTCGGGCATCTGGCAGACCTTCGATATCGTTATATCCCTTCAGAATTAACATGGCCATATTTTTAGTGTAAAATTTCAGATAAAGCTACAACCTAACGACACTCAGCAGAAGATTATTGTGCTCCCCAATTTCTTTAACTTGACTCGAGATGAGACTGTCATAGAGTATAGAGAGAGTTTCAAGTTATTGCTGGGATGTTTGAGAGCTGAGAGGGATTTCTGAAGGAGTTTTGGAGGAGAATTTCATGAAATTTCTAAAGCCTGACATACATGCAGTCCTCCGACTATTGAGACCGCGGGGATTGGGGGAGATGGAGTTAGCCTAGAAAGTGGAAGACAAGAACTAGGCGGAGAGGGTCAGTAGAAGCGGCACCATGGGAGTATTCACAAGAGTATCTTGATGTCACGACACTGAGGATCTAAATGGTGTCGTGTTAGAGGGAGGCGCCGAAGGAGAGAAATATGGGGGCCTGTCCAAGGGTCAACTTTAAGCTTCTCACGAATGCAGAGGTGCACGACAAAAGAGCAAAGACATTATGTTTTCGATGTGATGAGAAGTATGCACCAGACCACCAATGCAAGGATCAAACACTCCAGGTCCTTACAATTTGTGATGTGGAGGAGGCAAATAGTGAGGAATTGGTGGGAGAAACTGTGAAGAGAGAGGAGCACATACATTTGAATGTAGTGGATGTGACTCTCAACTTAGTGGTGGGATTTAATCCTAATCCCACCATGAAGGTGAGGGAATAAATTGGGGAGCAGTTGGTAGTAGTGTTGGCGGATAGTGGGGCCACTCACAACTTCATCTCAAATTAGGCCGTGAGCAGTTGAGGTTAAAATTAGTAGATACAAGATGTTTTGCTGTCATGATGGGGATAGAGAAGGTGGAGAAAAGCTAGGAAATTTGTAGGGATTGGTGTTGACATTACATGACATATAAGTGGTGTAAGACTCATTTCCTTGGATTTATGAAGTACTGATGTGATTTTAGGGATGGAGTAACTACATACTATCAGAGAGACGAGGGTGGATTGAAAAACCTTGACTGTGGAGATTATGGTTGAGGGGAGGAAGGTGAAGTTGAGAGGGGATGCTAGCTTTTGCAGAAGCATGGTCTCACTCAAAACTATGATCAATGCGATATGGGGAGCAGGATTGGGCTATTTGATGGAGTTGCAGAGTCTAAAGGAGATTCAAGATTCAAAGTTAATAGAGTTCCACAAGTGTGTTCAATAGCTTCTACAATAATTTTTTCATCCTTTAGCAGCGTAGCAGGTTACTGCCACTGAGGGAGCACATTACATTAAAGGAATTGGTTCCCCTGATCAACATCAGACTATACCGGTATCCCAAATTCAGAATAATGAGATAGAGAAGTTGATCGAAGAGATGCTCGAGACAGGATTATCAGGTCTATTATGAGCCCTTCTTCCAGCCTAGTCTTGTAGATTGCAGGGCTCTGAACAAGGAAATTGTATTAGAAAATTTTCCTATTCCGGTGATTAATCAACTATTTGATGAGTTTTTTGGAACAGTCATCTTCTTGAAGATTGATCTGAAGTTGTGATACCATTAGATTAGGATGAAGCCAACTCATTGGCACAAGATAACATTCAAGAATCATGACGGAAATTTTAAGTTTTTGGTGATGTCATTCGATTCCAACACTCCAACCACATTTCACTCTCTCTTCAACAAGGTTTTCCAGCTTTACCTGAATTGGTATTTTTTAATGACATTTCGATCTACTATTGTATGGATGCATAGCATACAGGACACCTAAAAACAATACTTGAAACTATGAGAGAGAATTAGTTGTATGCCAAATTGATGAAATGCTCTTTTGCACAGTTGCAAGTGAAGTACCTAGGGAATGTGGTGACCAAAACAGGGGTAGCAGCGGACCAATCCAAGATTGAGGCTATTTTGGGCTGGCCTTTGTTTAGGAGCTTGAAGGAGCTAAGAGGGTTCTTAGGTTTCATCGGGTACTACTAGAAATTCATGAGAGGGTATGGCACGATTGTATGGCCGCTAGCGAAGCAACTGAAGAAAGACAATTTTAGGTGGGGGGAAGGTGCAACACATACCTTCGAACAATTGAAGAGGGCAATGACCAATGTGC